AGGTCTCTTAAATCTTTCTCCTCTTACCTTAAATCTATGACCTCTAGTTTTGGACTACCCTAGCTTTGGAAAAAGACCTTGGCTATTCACCTTATCTATGCCCCTCATGATTTTATAAATCTCTATAAGATCACCCCTCAGCCTCTGAAGCTCTAAGGGTAAAAAAACCCAACATATTCAGCCTCTCCTTACAACTCAAACCCTCCAGTTCTGGCAACATCCTTATAATTATGTTCTGCACCATTTTTAGTTTACAACATTCTTCCTACAGCAAGGCGTCCAGAATTGTACTTTACTAACGTCTTGTACAGCTGTAACATGACATCCCAACTCCTATACTCAATGCTCTGATCAATGAAGGCAAACGTGCCAAATGCCTTCTTCACCACCTAGTCTACATTCAATACTGCTTCAAGGAACCATGAACCTGTACCTCAGATCCCTTTGTTCAACCATATTCCCCAAGGACCCCCCGCCATTAACTTATACAAGTTATAAATGAATGTTAAATGGATCTCAGCACATAATCAATTCCCACTACCCACCAGTACAAGATTGTGCGTGGTCACTTTCCAATCAAACGAGTTACACTACACAGCCTGCTGTGGTGTAAAATGGTTTTGGTTTTTGCCCCGATACAAATTTATGCAGTGCATTTTGGGCGACAATGCAATTCAGTCAGTGGCATCTGTACATTTTTAGAACTTCACTATATAAACTACAGACCAGTTGAAAGCCCAGTTGAAAAACCAACAGATATGCCCAGGCATCTATTTTTATAAAGTTTAATCTCACATCTTTATCAAATTACTAAGTCAATAAATAAAGGTTGAAATGGCAAGGCAGGCTGTGTGTCACAGCTGTGGCACATAAGAATCTGCATAGAGCACTCCAACCCCAGACAACTGGACCTGGGGCATTTAAATGCAGTTCAAGGCATTTGGTTCAAATTGTTGGAGGGGAAGATATCTGGACACACTGTTCCAAAGTATATTCACAGTCCTTATGATGTGGAGGTACTGGTGTTGGACTGAGGTGGACAAGGTCAGAAGTCACACAACACCAGGTTATAGTCCAACAGGTTTATTTGAAATCACAAGCTTTCAGAAAACTGTTCCTTAGTCAGATGAAGTGAAGTAAAGCAGACAGGCTCAGGATTTAGAAGCAGACAGACCAACAGGCAGGGAGTTCAAAAGATTATACAAATGGGGTGAGTGAAGTGTTGATAGGTTGAATAATAAGACCCTGCAGGTGATCACGTTTCAGACAGTGTGAGTAAAGTGTCAACAACTGAATAGCAAGTGAAGGGATGACCTATAATCCGATTAATTGAGGCAGAGAGATAATTACAAAAATTAAAAATAAGGTGGTGCTGGCAACAAAGCAAATGGCTGGAATAACATGATAGGTATAAGGGTTGCATGCCAAGGGTCTAACCAATGTAACAAGTAATCCAAAACTATA